AAAGCCGGAAGTGGCGCTGTGGCTCAAGTGGTAGAGCGCTAGCCTTGAGCTGAAGAGCTGAGGGACAGCGCTCAGGCCCAGAGTTCAGGCCCCACCACTGGACCCAAAAAAAACCAAAACAAAACAAAAAAAACCCTCTCCCTCCCTCTCTCTTCCATTCAGTACCTGGCATTTTGGATTAGATCCTTTTATTCTAGGCTATTTTAGGCCAACTCTTTCAAGATGCTGGATGGCAGGCTGGGCACGGTGGCTCCCGCCTGTAATCCTAGCTACTCAGGAGGCTGAGATCTAAGGATTGCCATTCACAACCACCCAGGCAAGAAAAGTCCCTGAGATTTAGCTGCGATTAACTACCAAAAAGCTGGGAGTGGAGCTGTGGCTCAAATGGTAGAGCGCCAGCCTTGAGTGAAAGAGCTTAGGGACAGCGCCCAGGCTGAGTGCAAGCTCTCCCCACCATGTCTTTGCAGGTATCATTTAGGGTCTAAAGCTGAGGCCATCCTGAACATGGGGTGGCCCCTCAATCCAGGGACTAGAGGTCCTAGAAGACACAGAGAAGAAGGCTGGGTAAAGATGGACCCCAGACCAGAGTGGCCAAGAGCCACAGGGACCTAGGAACCATCAGAGACTGGAAGAGCCAGGAAGGGCCCGCGTGAGTGCCTGCAGAGCCGGCCCAGCCCTGCTGGCAACTGACCAGAGCTCGGCCTCTCGACCGGGAGCCTGAGCATCTGATTCTCCACGTTGTATGCTGTCACTGGTGAGGGTGGCTGTGGGGAGTGAATGCACTGTGCCGTGGGTCTCTCCCTGCGCACTGCAGGTGGTGGTTGGAATTCCCTCGTGAGTGCAGGGAAGCGCGTGGAAGGGATTGCCCGCACCTGGCGCTCACCTTCACCTCTGTGTGGCCCCGGGCGATCTGCAGCAGGCAGCCCAGCCCGACTCCCACCAGGATGTCTGCAGCCTGGCTCAGGAAGCAACTGCGCATGTCCTCGGCCTCACTTTGCCTCTTTGTCCCCTTTAGTCCAATGCACCATAAGACAGAGGGCCCTCGAGAGGCCCAGGCACCCCCGGGACCGCCCGATGAGCGGCTCCAAGGCCCTCCACTCCACAGGCCACACCACCCCCGCCCCACTTTATTCTTGTTGGAGGCAGGGTCTAGCCAGGAACTAGAGCTCCTCTTGCCTCAAATCTCCCAAGTGCAGGGATTACAGAGGTGTGCCACCATCTCTGGCTGTGCAAACAGCCCCGGGGTGAAACTGCACCCAAGCCTGCTTTATAGTCTGTTGGGAGCAGAGTCACACTTGACCAGCTGTGTCCAGTCTGCAGCTGTTTTGCATAGCACCCATGGGGTGAATCATCGCACAGAGAGCAGGTGCTGACCCTAGACCGGGTACCCACTGACACCATGACACCTCCCTACAGGCATGAGGGCCGCACCTTCCTTCCTGGGGCGCCTGGGCTCACCATGTGGCAGCTAACCAGGGCAAAGGCAGCGCCATCTTGAGCGCTTACCAGCTGCAAAGAATCCGCCAGCCCTTGGCGTCTGGTCCTCTCCGTGGCCCATTTCCAAGAGCTGAGGTTCAAGGAACCATAAGCCCTACCCCAGGTGCCCTCCCCCTCAGAGAACTTTCTAGACTACCCCAAGGGGCAGGGCACAAGAGCACACCCCTGGTTCTCGGATCCATGACCCCGGAGGCCCAGGAAGGATACTGAAGTTGATGCCACCAAAACAGGCCGAGAATGCCATCCGAGGGTAGCCCTGGCGGGCGAGGGTGAAGTCCGAAAACGCATCTGTGCAGGGAGAGGGGTGGGAGGGAGGGAGGGAGAGGGAGAGGGAGAGGGAGAGAGGGAGAGAGGGAGAGAACAGTGAAGCCCCGCCCCCTCCCGCCTCTGTTGGGCAACGTGGCTGCTGTAGCTCAATAAAGGAGTGTGCGGGTAGGGGGCGGGGCACTGGGAGCACTGAGTTTGGGGCCCGCGGACCTCTGACGGGTGTCCTGATCCAGGGGCAGCTGGCGCCATCTCCCCCACAGCCCCAGCAAAAGGGGCAGTGCAAACTGACAGCAGACCATGTGCACACCCTGAGGGAAGGCGACACGGAGCTGGGGGCCCGGCGAGCTGCCCAGAGGAGGCTGCGATCACCCCACAACCACACTGGCTGTGCCTCGAGTCACCTCCAATGCTGTTCCCCCAGGCCAGCAGCGTGAGGCCCAGCACGGTGTTGCTCAGCCGGAAGACCACGCCCAGGGAGCGCAGCACATTCACCACCTCCGTGGCCGCCGCGTTGATCCACAGGGCGCTGGTCAGGAAGCCCAGGAAAGCAAAGAGCTGTGGAGGGACAGAAGCCTCCTAGCACCAAGGCCGGCCCCCACCAGGGCACTGCCAAGCCCTTCGGTAACCTCCTATAACCGTGCCTCGCCTCATTCATAACAGGAGTTCACAGGTGCAAAGTCGGTGCTTGTATGCAGTAGGTGCTCAATGAAAGCTCAGCTCATGTCTTGATTCTCCTGAATCTTGCTATCTCCTGCCCCTGGGCACCTGTCCATCGTACACTATGAGGGGGCCACTTGCTGTAGCCCTTTTTACTGTCCTCGGTCACTGAGTGAGTGTTTTCGAGGGTGAGCTCCGTGTCATAGGTTGGAAGTTCGCCAGGACACTGGCAGGAGCCATTTTCTTTTTTTTTTTTTTTTTTTGGTCCAGTTGTGGGGCCTGAACTCTGGGCCTGG